GTTGTGGGGAATGTTGGAGAGTTTTTCAACAATAGGTGGTGGAAATTTATTGGTGTGAATGAAGGAATGCTTTATGTGGTTAATTTCTTCATTTATGTAGTCCATTGAACAGTCTTGTGCCTGTGTTTATGAGGTTTTTAAGTGTATTGATTTTTTGTGTGGTGTCATGAGCAGAATTCCAGGGGATGTAGAGGCCAGTGTGTGTGTTCTTGCAGTGAATTTTGATTTTAAACTGTGTGTCCGATCTAATAATTTTGAGATTAAGAAAGGATAACTGTTTATTGTTTTCATGTTCTATGGTAAATTTGATGTTGGGATGAATGGAATTTATGTGTTCAAAGAAAGTTACTGTGTGTTCTGTAGAAGCGAAACCAGCAAAAGTGTCATTGACATATCTGTACCAGTATAGTGGGGGATGAAGCACAGAATGTATGGCTTGTGTTTCGATCTGGGTCATAAATATATTGGCAAGAACGGGCGAAACAGGATTGCACATACTTAAACCATGTATTTGAAGGAAATGTTCATTGTTGAAAATGAAGTTGGTTTTAGTTGTTGTAAATTATAAGAGAGAAGCAAAAAGTGTGCTGGGGATAACTTGTTGGGGTCATTAATGTAGAGGTCGAGTGCAATATTGCAAGCTTCATTGGCGGGGACTTTGGTGAAGAGTGACACGACATCAAAACTAGCCATTAAGTCTTTCGAATTTAGTTGTTCTAGTGTATATCTGAAACTGAAGGTATCTTTAAAAAATGAACCTGTAGATGTTACATATGGTGTGAGAGCCCAGGCTATGTATTTGCCAAGATTGTAGTTGAATAAATCATAAGCGGACAGTATAGGTCGTAGGGGGCAGTCCTGTTTGTGAGGTTTAGGAATGCCATAGAGTTGTGGTGTGTGCAAATCAGTTTTATGTAGATAACAATAAAGATCGTCAGTAATTAAATATCGTTTTTTCATTTGTAATAAAGTTCTGTTTAGTTGTTTTTCATGTGTGTTTGTTGGGTTGTTTGGAATGGCTTTGAATTTCTTTTTATCAGAAAGAATGTCGTTCATTTTGTCTATGTATTCTGAATTGTTCATGATGACAGTGGTGTTGCCTTTATCAGCTTTTGGAATTTTAATGTTAGTGTCTTTTTTCAGATTATAAATGCTCACTTGCAGATGGAGGTACATAGTTCACAGCTTGTTAATGATTAGTGTTGCCAAGTCAACATTTTTCCAATTTTACAAGTCAAATTTTCTATAAATTTTTTTTTGGAGTTAAGATAAACACAATGAAGTAGACTGTCATCTGTAAAAACAGGGAATATAGGAGAAATTTGGTTACTTTTAATTACTTTTCCAAGACATCTTGATAAAAAACCCATTGATTTGTTTTTAATTCCATGACTTTCCATCATCCCTGCAAACCCTAGGTATAACAAGTTTTTTTTTTTAAAGGGTTATACAAAGCTGAAGAAGTACGAACAGGAGGTTATACCAAAGGCAGTTGTGGGGTACATTATTAGGTTCTTTTATCCAAAACCATGACACCAATCTAGAAAAGTAACACATAAGGTAAGGTATGAAAGGTAGTTATGGGATACACTATTTTTCCTCTTCAGCTAAAGGGGATTGGTAAACAGCACAGTGAGTTCCTACTATACCATATCTGGTAGAGGATCAGCTTTATGACCCATGAAAAAAGGATGCCACTAATATATTAGTTCTTGTCAGTTTGGTAGATGGCAAGATGATATTTAAAACTTGTTTTAATGAAAGGCAGGTGTGATTCACAGAAGATCAGCTCAAAGGAAAACCTTGAAGCTAAATCAAAAAATTACTCTATGAAGTCTGCTCTGTTCCCTGAATAAACAAGAGAACTTATCTGAAAAATTAAACTAACTGAAAGCAATAACATAAGACCTGTTATGTTTGGGTATCATTATGTGATGAGGCCTGACTGACCAGCTATTATGTCAAGCAGAAGTGATAAATACACTAATGAAAGTGTGTGTGTGAAAATGCATCATTGTGGTGTTATTAAAAGGTTATCTAAGCTCAGGTGAGGTTATTAAAAGTCTTACCATGCCTTTACAAGGCACATGAGAAGAATACTTTCGAACAATAGTTTCAATGGCACAATTGAATGATAATGGTGAACCATTACCCCCTGGCATGATGCTAGTCCAGTGGAGATTGACCCACAGCTAACAGCTAGGTAACCATCATATAGGGAGATAAAGTGTCTTGCTCAAGAATACACAGCATGATGTGGGCAAGTTTGGAACTTGCAACCATCCAACTACGAGTCGAAAGTGTGAAGCCACCGAGTCACGCTACTCTTCAAGTGAGGTTGTACCTAACTATTAAATCATACTTGGTCATTGATTATGTTGAATCCCAAGTTATTAAACAAGCACTATTACTGAAAGACTGAGACTAAAGCATGCCCCCCTCTTTTTTATGGAATTAATAAATGAAATTTTTCAACTTGTAGTTACTCTTCTACTTTTTAAAATGTTTCACCTTTTAAAACTACATGCCAAATCCATTGAAGCATTTTCTCTGTGATGAACAAATGTACATGTTTTATATAAGCAGGCTCTGTGACTTCAACTTATTATTGACAGGTTTTTATTACCCAAGTTACACCAGCTTTAAACTGTACATTCTCTTTCTGGTTATCTTACTTCACATTTTAAGCATAAAAAATTAATAATAACACTTTAACAGAGTATAACAAACTACGAATTTCCTACATAATACCTTCTATATAGAAACTAGTAAACATTTGTAACTCTTACAATGTTGGATTGATTGCAAAAACATTTTTATTCATGTACAGAACAAAAGGTTGATTATGTTATATTAAAACATAATTTTTTAGATCTGTGAATATCTTTCCTTGATAGCCAAATTATTTTATAAGTTAATGTTGAATATGTTACTTGATGCATTATACACAAAGCAAGTTTGAGTATGCAAATTAATAAGACACATAACAACCACAGCTGATATAAAGTTGCAGTGAAACAGCATGTATCAGAACTACACTTTGATATTGTTTAACATTTTGTAGGTAGTGTGATGCCACCTAAAATGGATAATTTCTGTATGTAACAGTCCCTTGTGACACAAACTATTCAAAATCTTGGATCATAAAGACATATTCAGCTTAAATTCATAATTTCCCTTGTATTCAATGGCATTGAGAAAAAAAGAGCACCGATCAGCTTTAGGCACCAGGACTATCTAGAAAGAGACATACAACAAGCCATACTCAGCTATGGTAAGCAAAGTGTGACACCTTGTAACAAGTTAGAATCCACAAACACAAAGGTCAGTGGCAAAAGCTGGTTACATGCCCCAGGCAACAGTAAGCAACATAATCAAGAAGGCTCCCTCTCTCTCTCTGGAAACAAGGGCAAATGGGTATTGGTTCCCAATATTAGGTTTCCAATCATACCACCCATTCAACTTTGTATATCTTAAGCAAATGGAAAATGAAACAAGTATTCATACTAATCCATATGAAGACATACCAGTTATGTTACCATATGCAACACCTATGGACTTGTGTGTGATTGGAATGACGAAATGGGTACTGGGAAACCTTTAACCCTACACACTATAGGGACTATGGAAAACATGCAAGGAAGAGTGTGTGGTTTGAGTATAACAGCTTTATGACATAGTTTTCTGCAATGGAAACTATACTATAGGGCTATAGTTAAGATGCATGGTCATCATATAAGCCAAGACTAGATGTTACTTCTGACATCCTCACACCTTGTTTAGCTGTTTTTTCTTTTTTTAATTAATTAAATATAAATTCTCTAAAAGTCCTATATTCTCAATCAGTCTATAAAAGTCTAATTCTCATGCTAATTTTAAAATTCATCAGCCTCGAATGAGGCGAAGGAAGACAGCTTAATGTTCAAGCACCCTGATGATTAATTATTTCTCTAAAAATTATTACTTTTTGTCAAAATAACTGCCAAAAAGAAAGCCAACATGAACTGCAACAATATGGTGAGGCTCTAAAATCATTATTATAACATAGTCAACCTCTGTAAGTCACAAAATAACATCACTGATTTTCAACAAACATACATATGAACAGTTATATAATAATTGTATCTAAGTAAACCATATACATAGAAAATACTGTGTTACTAATTTACTACACAATTAGAAATACTGATTTAGGTTGTCTCTATAATAAATTTATACAAATTTATGTAATCTAAAAGGCATAGTCTAATTACTAAAAATTACAATACAGTACATTCAGAAGCTTAAAATCCCTTCCTCTGCATGTTTTATTAGTAATGACTGTCTGTTCAGTATTAAACCTTTCAAAATAAGTTTTAATTATGAAAAGTATCTGTTTTGCTGGACAATTAGAGAATCTTACCTGGCTCTCTTATCAAGATTTTCAGTATTCAATTTCTTTTTTTTTTTTTAGTGACATTTGATACTTGTTGGTAAGATGAGTGGTTTTACTCAGTAATATGAAAAAAGGTGGAACAAAACATAACAGGTTTGTAAAAAAAAACACAACTAAGACAAATATACATAAATTAATTTTGAATATTTCATTTGATAGATTATAGACAAAACGAAAATAAAAACTAAAACCTGTTTTGAAAGCACAATTTTTTTATATCACCTTAATCATTTCAAAAGTCAATGCTTTCTCTCTAACTTACTTCCAAAAACTTGATGAGACTTTTTGACAATGATTGCAAATGTGTTGCAGAAAGAACACATAAAGCAACAAACTGGGTGAAAGTCTTCTGTGAGAAATTTAAATCTTTGCATTTCACATTGAATTTTATGTTATAGTATTTAAAGTTTATATTTGTTAATGTTATATAACTTACAAGATGATTTCGTAAAACAAATCTCACTTGAATCATAAATTTTGTGTTAATAAAAATAAAATTTGTATGGGACTGGCAAGTCATTCACCATTAAAAACAAATCTAAAACTTCAATACACGTTTTAAAAATCAGTTTTCTTTCCTCTTGAGAATCTGGAAGCAAAGGTTATTTAAGTGGGACTAAGGCTTATAAGACTGAAGGCTTATAATGCTAAAAACCAGGTTCCTGTACTTGTGGTGGGCACAACAGTACAGATAGCCAATTGTGTAGCTTCATGCTTAACAATAACAAACAAACCACTATGAGACAGATGGCCCTTTTCAAGTTCAAAAGAAAACATTAAATTTTTTTTATGCCATTAGAAAAAATATAATTAATACAAGTTAAATGACTTTTCCATACCCATTTTAAGAGCTCATACCATGATATAAAAATACACCACCTTATTTATACAGTGTTATTTCACATAATTATAAAAATAAAACTATTAAAAGCTCAAGATATTCAGTAATATCTCACACAATTCTTTTTAACATCATCACAACTTTAAGTAAACATACATGATAGGTTAAAAGAGTGGAATATATATATATATAAACATTTAACTACCATGAACCAAATAAAATTCTGACTAAATGTATCTTTTCACACCATTATCTCTATCTAAAAACTATTTAAACTATATATGAAAAAAAAAGCCAATAACACATTTGAAGTAGACTATTATCGGTCAATTTAAAATTTCTGGCCTATGATTTTTAATTTTCTTTTTCATTTCTAGAGTGATTTTGCTATAGTGTGCAAAAGACCTGTTCAATTTTAAATTTTTACTTACAGTAATCACTGCTACTTTACAAAACTTTAAGAAACACATCTCATGTTGCAATCCACCCACTTCTAGAGCCTCAGTAATTGAGATGATGCATTTCTTTCTTCTTTTTTGTGCATTTTAAAAACTGCAACTTGTGATATAAAAGTTCATAAACACAACTGGCTGTTAATTATCTTGTTATATTAAGCCCATTAAAGCTAAACAATTTCCTTACAATAAGGGTAAGATTTTAGAAACTTGATGTATAATCATATACTAGTTAACCAGATCAAAGAATTTTTAAATTCTACATCTTTTACATTTTCAGTAATTTAGTATCAGTTTTCCTTTCTCTGCAATTATTGGTTTTAGAGATTGATAAAGATAATTTGATCAACAAATATTCCCTGGAGTATGGAGTGAATTACACTCTATGTTTTTTTTTCCCCTTTATATGATGCTGGCAAATTCTTAAACTACAAACCAAAACATATTTATCACATGAAAACATGCAAGCATGAAAAATTGGTATCATTAAATTATGAATACCAACAAAGTAAGTGAATAGTTTTTTTTATATCACAGATAATCATTGCACACTAGTAGTGACAGGTTTTCAAACATTCTTTTGTTCATAATTAATTCTTAAATTATCATCATATAGCTTCCTGTGATTTCTAATATCAATTTTTGCAAATTTTTAATTTTATATGCTTAAAAAAAATGTCAAGTCACAGATAACCACTACTCAATTTTTATGCATTAATCCTTATTCTAGGAAGTTCTGTTACTAATCCCAGAAGCCAGGTTTAGGCTTTAAGACACATTTTATTGAAATAAAATATGTTCTTCCTGATTTAATTTATTTCATGAATCAATTATTTAACATATTAATGATATACCATAGTTCTAAGGGTATTTATATTGTTTTGATACTTTATAAGGCTTAGAGGAAAAAATTCCCAAAGTGTAACTACTTTTATATCTGAATTATGCTAGTTATCCTTTTTGTTTTCTTCACCTAAAACCTGATACAGATTAAAATAAATAAAATTAGAATTTTTGTGGTTTAAGAATACCTAAGCTGCCAAATCATACTTCTAAAAAGTAACATTTCTGAAAGACCTTTAGCTGCAACAAGTCCCTTCCAATAAGTTCTGGTATTGAATAAAACCTGTAACTTGACTTGTTGCAGACAAAACATCTGAAATACTATCTTTAAATGTGTTGTAACTGTATTACACTAATGTTTTATAACCCAAACCCCTTCACTACATAAAATTGGTTCCCTTCTATTGGTGGGTTTAGTCCAACTTCAGAAAAGAGAAATAATCTATGATTACAGCTGGGAGATTAACTCAATATAATGAGCATTGATTAATGCCAAGAACATATTCAACTAATTAAAATTAGTGTTTTTAATTATTACTGTTTTTAATTATTACTGTTTTCAATTATTTATCTATTTAAGTAATCAAAATATTTTCATTATAATTTATAATTATTATTTTCAATTTAATTAAACCCATTTTAAGGTAGTTCAGCTTAATCAATTAGTTTCACAACTCATGAAAATAATCATCTAATTAAAATTAGTGTTTCCAACAATCCAAGTCTCATGTGATAATAATCAATTGGTTGAGTGTAATCACTTAATGAGCTTGAGGATTAATGGAATACCCAATTCCACTAATCAGGCCGGCTCTACCTAAGATCATACATTTATCTCATTGCCACCAAAAAATGTTCACTATTTTCTTAATTTTTAACTCGTGAATCACAGAAAAATAAATTACACATACAATACATAAAATACCTCCAAAAATCTCCTTTAAAGATATAAATATCATGTTCAAAACAAAACCTAGCAAACTGCTACACCATCATATGTTGTGTTATTAGTATTGCTGGGGCTATCAAGCAAGTGAACTCTTCAGTGTTTGATGATTTTAAAAGAATTACAGTATTTCTAATGATACTGATACTGTCCCTATTAACAACTCCTAAACATTAAATCCAAAACTTCAAGTTTACCATTGCTTTGTTAACTCCACAGTGCTTGATTCCAGCTTCTCACTATTTTAATTAACCTAGTTTGTAATCTTCTCACTACTGGAGGCTTCTTGCCATGTGTTGGGCCTAATATGAGTTGACTTATTTATGTTTTGTAGCCTTCACCTAAACAAGTCTTATTTTTTTGCAAAATTTCTTTGATAAGTCTGTTTGCATAATTGGCAACAAACTGGTTGATAACAAAATATACTAAAAAACATGGAATAGTTTATTTAAATAAATTTAGCAGCACGGCACTGTTGCCACCATGATAACAACTAGTAACTGGGTTAAGTAATATTAATTTATCTAATGTTGAAAGGCTTAATGCATAAAAAAAAGACAAATGGTAACCAAGCACTATTTCTTCTCCACATATTAAATACAAAAAATAAGCCAAAACATTAACTATGAAATCCATAACCACATACACTACTAGAAATTATCAATTAAGGATACTTTAAACATTAAAATATATTTTATGGTAATCATATCATCATCAAGTTTGTATTTATTGGTTGTTATATTACTAAAATTCCTATTCATTAATCTTAAGCTCCTCAAATCTCTTCAAGAATTTTACATCATTATCATTTCACAACTATATATTCATCAAACTCTATTTAGATCAAATGATAAAATTATGCAGCAAGCTTCAAAATGTCTTTCCTTTTTTTAGAAAACTGCACTTTCAGTCTCTGCTCTTTCATATTTTTCCAATATTTTTTCCAAGCCAGCAAGCTTGAGTGCATTTTTTAAAGCTTCATCATCTGCTATACCTGGAGAGCTTTTCTCCTCTTGTGCCTAAAAGGAAAATGATCAGAATTTGTTTCACAGTTAGCTAACATACCATGGTATTCATAACCAGTAAAAAGAATGATATACTCACAAAACTTAAGATTAGGAAAAAAGAATTTCCATAAATGACTTAATACAAACACTTTTGGATATTTTCTAGCTTTAATTATCTCTTTCTCCACCATAACAGTGGTGAAAAGTCATTGACGACCCTTGATTTTTTTCTCTTCTTACAGTGGAAATAATTAATCAAATTGCATGAAACTTGTTAAGTTTGAACTTTTTCTTTTAATTTTTCATTATGCAAGAAAGTGTTATAAAATGACAAAATATACTGTTGAGTAAAAATTGTTAAACAGACTTAGAGTAATTATTTTTACTTAAAGTTTGAAATCTGAAGTGTAGGTGTGTAATTGACACCTGGAAGGTGCTCACAAGTCTGGACAGGGTTGATGCAAACTTTTCATTGCAGGATTAAACATATTAATGGTTACTTTTTCCAAGTTTGAGAATATCTTAATAATAAAAAAAAAAAAAACTTTGAAAAATGTAAAGAATCTTGGTTTTTTACCTAACTACTTTCAAAGGTACACATAAGAACTCAACTTCAATGTATTTATCAAAAAGGCTCAGAGCAAAACTTATAAAAGCGAATCATTAACAGTCACTGTTGGTTAAAGAAGCCTTAGAACACATTCTAGTATATTTTCTCACAAAACATTGAATAATAACAGATGAGCAACAAAACACAAGAAAACTGTCTACTTGTTGTGGTTTCTTTCCTATAAACAATTCATTCCATAACAAATGTTTATCTGAAAGATATGTGAATATCAAATATCCCCATTGTCAACTTCTTTTTTTTGTCTTGCATCTTCAACAAACAGCTGTAAGTGTGCGAAACTTATGATATGTAATGCCAGCAATTACAGTTATTTCTTTTTTATACAGAATGATAAATTACTAGACTCTTGCATTTGCAAAGAATATGGTTATTTAATGTCAACACTAGGGCTGTGTTCAAAGATTTGTTCACTAGCCAGGAAGTTCAAAGTAGTTCTTAACATTCAAAGGTTTGTCAGGCTGCATTCAAGCAGCTAAGATTTCTTTCTCCTGTTAAAGAAACTATTTGACAAAGTTTGAATAGTAATCATGCATTAAATGAGGCTCACATGAAAAAAAAATCAATCTTTTGATTTGTATATTCTACATTTCTTAAAAAAAAACCTTTTGAATTAAAAAAACACACCACTAAAATGTTATATGTAGCGGTTCTTTCTTTGCATTGGAGCAAATGATTATAATGAAGCATGAGGAGGTAAGTATAGTAGCTGCATTTCTTCAATAAAATGTACTGTACCTAGCATACAAGATGGAAGAGAAATTTTACGGTAGAATAAGTAAGAAACAAAAGGAAACTCTAAGAGCAATAATTTTAAGGTTGAATAAATAGCACCAGTATACTGAACTTCCCTCCTTCCTCAAGGCACATTAATTAATCAACAATGTTGTTAAAAAAATGTGATTTATATTGATACTTTCTCTTATAACTTTTATTTTAGTTGACTGTCCATTGAAGAGTTAGTATTACTCTGTTCTATTTTGCTGATTATTTATCATGTTTATTCAGTATGTTTAATCATCAATTTTATGTTAAAAAGACTGACTGTTAACTTGTTTGAAACAGTGACTGTTAAATACATTTGTTTTTCTTAAGTCAGATGCAGTTCTTTTAATTGGCTACAACAGGGTGTTCTTGCAATGTAAACTTACTGTATGTAGCTATATGAATAACACATGTAGCATCATATACGTGTACATAAATCAAGTGCATTTTTTATGTTTATTTAAATTATAAAAACATGATTAATTGTTTATATAATGTATTTTGAAACTACATGTGGGTGTTTTATTTCATTTATTTGGATTACCTGTAAATGAAAGGATTTTCAATCAAATATAAACTAGAGGTTATGGTGGTATAATTGGTAAATTATGTAAATTAGTGATATTAAAGTTTCAAACCTACATTCAATAATGTATTCTGAATCTTCAAAGGTCAATATATATATATACTTAATTACAGCCCTAATACCTACTTCTAGTTTCTTTCCTTAAAATACTTTGAATAGCAAAACTGAATGGTAAAATCTTCTGTCACATGCATAAACATTTTATTTTCTCCTTACTCTCTATAATTTCTTATTTAGTAAATAATATCTAATAACTGAATTCACCATTTACTTTTTCCATTACATCTCATAAAAAAAGATACAAGACAATATTAAAGTTTAACAAAATGAAAAGCAGTTAGATAATACCTTTATGTTTTTTTGAAATTTTTCTATAATATCTTTTGATGGGCTTCTGTTCTTGTGACAAAATTTCTCAATAGAGGTTAACATATGCTCGTCAAAACCAAGGAAGGGTCCAAGACTCTTCCACTGATTATCTTTATCTAGCTCAGCACAGAGAACTTCCAGTTTTTTATCTTTCATCTCATGGATTTCTCCTGAATATACAAGGAAGTTTCCTCCATTAAAAAAAAAGAGGGTGCTAGTTTTTAAAGCATAATATGAAATAGAAGCTTCTCTTAGAGAAAAGTGTACAGTGCAGAGGGGAAACCTAATTGGACCTATAAAACAGCAGTGCACAAAATATCAAGTAAATGAAAATAAAGGTTTAACAGCCAATTGGTTGTTTTAATATATTTTGCATTTCTTAAATTAAATGCTGATGTAATATATATATATTACAAGAAACTCATGAGGTGATGAACTTTTCATCCTTTTAGTTTGACAGAGGCAAAAAGAAATACAAAACAGGTTTACAATGACGAATAATTTATATTACATGTAAATAATCAACATACTCAATAATTAGCAGAAGAGGATACTCAAGAATAATAAAACTTTATAAAATAAAATGCCTGATGCATAACTACTCTAATTTCTTTACTGTTCTTAAATTTCAAGTTATTTTGGTAAACAATTAATGCTTACACTAAATAATCCTTTTATCTCTCCTTTTTTATTATTTTCAAACCTAATTTCATGAAATAAATACAAGCTATATATTTGGAGCCAGAATACCATCCTACAGCTTGTGTAAATGTTTAAAAATGTTTAGATTTCAACAACGATAATATTAGCATATTGCATTTAAGTTTATAAAAACAATTTAAACTGCGTGTAAAAATTATATGTTCATTCATATTCATTTGTTTTTAGATTTTTGGGTTATTCACATCAGCATGATGAAATGACCATGTTTTTACTTTTTAAATTCTTTCTAATTTAAATTAATAAAAGTATTCTTGTACCTATAAACATCAACCCAATTATAATATGATTTTGAAAATATAATGCATTGTTGCTTAGGATGAAAAAACAACAACTTAGCTCCAGAAAAACAGGATTTCAAGATAATGAAGTTGAATCTGTCATCTGAATAATTTATTTTTATATTACTATTACTAATTGCTTACCACTAGCATATCCTGAGTCAAACATCTTAAGTTGCTGAGCACAGTCCACTTTAGCACTGTCAAAGAAGACTTGTTGTTTTCTCATATAATCAAATTTTGTTACTTCTGGGTTGACTGTTGGAAAAGAACCATCGTTCCTCAATTCAGTTAATGATGATGACATCTGCTGAGGAGATCTTTGTGGTGGATATTTTATTTCCCCAGCTAAAATCTGTTTGAACTGAAATTGTACAAGGTATTTAAGTTTTTTGCCATGTTTGAATTATATTTCAGTTCTAGATGGAATACTTCTGAAATGCCTTAGCCTTCTTTATGATAAACCCTTCCGGTAAAGGCAGTGGAATATCACTTTCATTATGAATACACTACCTAAGACCATAAAATAAGGAGTAATATATATATATATATATATACATACGTTCTTCAAAATTTGACTTATGAAATTCCAACTTACAAGAATTGTATGAATTCTACTAGAAATAATTTGGAATACATAATCCTTTAAATATTCCTTTATAAATTTCTAGCATACATCTTGTATTATATCTTTGATGATAAATCACACACACTGTAAATATACATCATACTTTGGAATACATAAGACCTTTTATAATTCTCTTTGTGATATGCTTTGAAAATACATGTATTGTAAAGTACTATCCTTGATATGCAAAGGTATACATACTTTACATCGACAAGAATATTTCCACATAATGGCATCTTTACTAAAGTAGTGAACTGGATACACATCAGCTCAGCAGCATTTTTTTCTTTTTATAAACACATTCGAGTTTATTAAAATTAACAAGATTTACACCAAAACATTATATTAAAGTAAGAATTACAAACAAATTACCAACTTGGACAAACTAGCATGTGACTGATACTAGGCTACAGAACATGTGTAATGCATATCAGTTTTGACTGTTTGTTTTTATCACAAAGAAACACAATGGGCTGCCTGCATAATGCATTTAGAAACAACAATAACTGACTGGTACTAGGCCAAGAAACATTTGTAAGTTTCCTTACTTCAAAGTTATCTTCTACCAAGTCAACTGCTGTTTTCCCTTCATGGTTATTACATGTAATGTCTCCTTCTAAAGATTCACAGCCACACTGGCTAGAACAGGAAGTCATGTCAAAATTTTGAATCAGAGGATTAGCATCTGCTTCCATTAATGCTATAACAATGTTTCTGAGGCCTCGAGTGCAGGCAAGATGAAGGGCAGTATTTCCTGAAAAGTTTTGGGCATCTATGTCCACATCATTCTAAGAAACAACAATAACAAAAAACATTACTTTTTTTTCAACTACAGAAAAAAATCTAAACATTGGATATGTCTATATAATAATGTAATACAATAAATTAGTATCCATGACAGGGATACATTGAGACTAATATGAGTATAATATAATTAACTGGCAATAAAGAATTTAGTGGATCACAAGTTGTATTGAAAAAATAGTCATTTCTTGCTATTATTTACTAAAAAATTACCTTAGAAAGATGAAACAATGGCTAAAAAACGATGTAATATTTTAGGTTGATGCAGAATGTGGCCAAAGAAGCCTAAACATTACAAGCTAGTACACTCTGACTTTACCCAAAATATATAGTTTTTTTTATACATTTGCAATTGGCTACAAAGCAATTGATCTTGTTGGGGTTAATTAATAATCATTTACTCAGTGAACTGTGAT